TATATTTGGGCCTTTCCCCCTGTCCATACTGCATAATCCTGTCATCAAACTTAAAATCATCAGGGTTGCAGTCCAAGTCTCTTGAGCCAGATCTTTTTCGCTTGGCTCCTTTTGCTACACCTCTACCAACAGCCTTTTCAATTAAATTGCGATATGTAGAAACAAGCATTTGGCCAAACGCCACATCAGTGATGGCATAGTCGGGATACAATAGATCACCAGTACTGGTCTGTCATAGCCTGATCAGTGCCAATACCTCATCGATGTGCTGCATCAAATAAAAACAACATGATAAGTATGGAAAACATAAGCAAAAAAAAGGAAAATTAAGCGAAAATAACTCACCAGTCCTCAAGCCACCTGCCCATCGTCAACAGCTGTTCAAACCATTCCTGCTGATAATCCCCTGTCTTACACTCTACATGGGCATCACTTCCCGATTCATTGTAATAGGCATAGAAGAGTTTTTTCTTTTCCTCCTCTATTGGCCTATACAAATCGACCTTTGAGTCCATTTTTGCTTGCCCACTTCCTCCCCCTTCCTCCATTTGTACATCCCCGCCTCCTTCGCCTCCCACCTCACCCTCCTCTATTATCACTGCCCCACTTCCTCCACCAACCTCCTTAATCCCCTCCATTTTTGCTTCTTCCTCCATTTGTTTCTTAATTTTCTTCTTCTTTCCATGTGTTACTATCGTGTAAGGCGATTTAAAAAACTCGCTCTTTCGGCTCTCTCTTTTCAGCCCAGATTGCACTTCAACTGCCTTTAATACCCCACCAACTTCCTCCTCCACCGTACCAACTTTCTCTGCCACCTTATCCACTTTCTCCTCCACCCTTTTCATCTGCTCTTCCATCTTGTCAAACCTATCGTAAACAACTGTTGTAAAACTCTCAAACAGGCCATTTATGAGGTCAACCATCTCATTCTCTTGACGTCGACGTCTCGACTAAGCAGTACTTATTGTACCGGTTTGCTGAGGCATAGGAACCTCTTCCTCCTTCTCCTCCTCCTCCTCCTTCCTCCCGCTGATTGGACCTTCATCATCCTCGGCGTCAACCACGTTCTCAAGTAGTGACCCTGCAACTGTTGTCACATGCGTGACCCCTACTAGGTCCCGCATCAGGGGGTCTATCCGGTCAGCCCGTTCATCCTCTAGTGCTTCGAAAGATGTGACATACTCCTGTTCCGCTTCACCACCAGTAGCGGTGAGAAAGGGACGGACGACTCCCTGAAATAAGAAACAAAAACAATCAGATTGAAGCAACATTTTAAAGCAACTGCATATTCAAAAGCTTAATCCTTTAATCTTACCCCAGCCGCTTCAATTTCAATGTCTATTTGGTCGTAATCCCAATGGGTATACCTCTCGACATGCCACCTCAATATCTAGGAAATGGCTATGAAACATCCAAACTCTTCCCCCTGCCCCTCACCTTAGCGAAGACAGGGACGGCCTCATACAACCAAGCCTACATTGTAAAAAAACAGTCCATATCATAATTCAAACACATATATTATAAAAAATATAACAAAAAGCTATTAACATTTACTTGCATTGCTCATAGGAAGCCAAACAAATTGTATGTGCTCGGATTATCCTTCCCGACCCATTAGGAGTGTTTTAACGTCATGTTTTTCCCTTGTAAGGAGTCCATGGTTCGCTTAAATGATACCTGTCCCCACGGATAAGAATTAAAGAAGTCCAAGTTGGTTGCAAACCTCACCCAATCCATATCAACGGTTTTTGTTGAGTCACCAGCCATTAGGATCGAATGTAAGAACAATACCAAGCACAGTTTCAACTTCTCTGAATCTTTAAACCGACTTCTTTGTATCTTCCGCTCTAAATTGCGTCCTGTAATAGACGCTTTCCCCTACAAAACCTTGTCAACCAAACTTACGGCTGCTTGACTCTCCTTTATTGCCTTTGCCTCATCCTGATCTGGCATTTTCCCACATCCTAAGCCGGTCACCAAGGCGTATTTCATCAACCCAAAACGTAGTGGCTTTCCATCCACCACGAACCACATTTCTTGCTTTTTTTTTGCATTTTACTAAGTGCATCAACATATAATGCACTCCCTGCCCCCAAAACGCCTTTTTCCAATTTGTTCCGATTTTGAAAAACTTACCGAAACAAGTCTCTTTGAATCGTTGTTCACCATTCCTCAATTGACCTCAAATCCCCTTTATTCTCTCAAAAACATCCCAACTCGACCTGACCATCACCCTTGCAGGGAAGTACAGTACATTATCGCTTACAATGTCCAACCAGTAGTCTTTATAGTTTATGGTACGCACAATCTACATAATCGATATAAACAAAATATCAGTAACAAAAATAAACAAAAACAACTAATAAACAATATATCAGCAACAAAAAATTGCCTATGTGGTCGCTTAAGCAATTTCGGATCGCTTAAGAGATCTTGATTCTGCCTCGTGCAAGATCTCTTAAGTGATCTGAAATCGCTTAAGCGACCAAGAGTAAACTGAATGAATCGCTTAAGCGATCTTAGATCTGAGCAAATGATTCTGCCTTGGACAAGATCACTTAAGCGATCTGGAATCGCTTAGGCGACCAACAGTAAAGATGAATCACTTAAGCGATACAAAGGATCGCTTAAGCGATCTTAGCTCTAAGCAGATGATTCTGCCTCGGACAAGATCGCTTAAGCGATCTGGAATTGCTTAAGCGACCATAAGTAAAAGAGATGAATCGCTTAAGCAATACAAATGATCGCTTAAGCGATCTTACATCTGGTAGATGATTCTGCCTCGGACAAGATCGCTTAAGCGACCATGAGTAAAAGAGATGAATCGCTTAAGCGATACAAATGATCGCTTAAGCAATCTTACATCTGCCAGATGTCCTTCATCGGACAAGATCGCTTAAGTGATCATGAGTAAAAGAGATGAATCGCTTAAGCGATACAAATGATCGCTTAAGAGATAGTACAGAGCAATACTCCCAAAACAAATACGTACCTTATCTTCGCCAGCCTCCTCGTCGCCTGCATCCTCGCTGGCCTTCTCCTCCTCACTGGACTCCTCCTCCTCAGAACCGTTTTGCGATTCTTCTCTCTGTTGTTGTGCGGCTATCGTCTCCTTTGCCATTGAACTGCTTGCGCCACCGGACTCTAGGATTCCAAGTGGCTCCTCGTCATTGTAAATGTCAGCCATGGTTTAGGATTGAATTTGGTGTGAAAATTTGCAGTTTCGATCGGAAATCTGGACTGTATCGCTGGAAATCGCAGAGATTCCGTTTGGGTTCAAGAAATCGATTTTACGGTTCAAGAAATTGATCGGAAATCTGCACTGTATCACCGAAAATCGTAGAGATTTTGTTTAGGGTTCAAGAAATCGATCAGAAATCTGCACTGTATCGCCGAAAATCGCAGAGCTTCTGTTTAGGGTTCAAACAATCGATTTTAGGATTGAAAACTTGCAGAGTTAATTAGAAATCACACAGTCTCCATTTAGGGTTCAAGAAATCAATTTTTGCCTAAATGAGTTTCGATTAAGCGATTTGAATGGGTGGGGCTGTTTTTTAAATTTCAAATTTTAAAAAATTTCATTAATTGTATTTTGTCCTCATATGTTTTAATCTTTTCATTTTAACCCATTTTTCATGTTTAATGAATCCTAAATGTGCCACGTCAGCTTCTCTAAATTAAAAAAAAAAATTAAAAATAATTTCAAGGCCATTTTGTTAAATGCAAACTTGGGATGGCCTCGGAGTTAAATTTCCTCGTATATATTACTGTCCAACTATTTAATTGCACTTTCTTTGACATTCAAAACAATTTTTTTTTTTTCATCAAGCTCTCAAATTAATAAAATTCCATGAAGATTCGCTAAGGAAAAAATCTAACTTTTTTATAAAATAATAAACATAATTAAGTTATAATATTAAGTATATTCAAAAATAGGTGGTATGTATAATTTCTTTCCTTCGGGTGTGCAGAATTTTTTAGGCAATAAGGTGACTGACAACGAATCTCACAAGTTTTCTCTCATGTACGTAATGTGAGAAAAAGTTTGTGAAATTCATTTGTTAAAATAATATTGCCTTTTTTTGGGAAAAGAAATCATCAATTGGGTTGTCCCAATTTATCACTAAATAATTAACTCCGAATTCCACCACCGACCCAGATGATAAAACAAGATGGCAAAGAACTAACTTTTCTTATTCAATATAATAACTTTATGAATTGTTTACTTATACTCCTCTGTGGAAACAATGTTTGATCTGGATATAATTTAACAATGGGAAATGAGATACTCATTTTCAGCGAGTGAGAGGCTTTTAAGGTCCTTAACATAGAATATACCACCGGCAGTGGGATATTGAGCTCTGAGCAAACCAAGCCCATGATTCTTGCAGTAGCAGACCGATATGACATTTTGTTCAATGACACGCGCTATAGCAAATCTGTTTTTTATGTCGCAGAAACCTGTTGATCCACCCATGCCTGAGTGCCCAAAACCGATAATCGATCCATGTCGGCTTTATTCCTCTTAAACCCTAGTCCAAAGGCCAAATGCTCATAATCACCCACACCACGAACGCATCATGGATTTTAGGGTTACTAAAAATCTTGCCACCAATATTATTGGCCTAGTGTTATCATCACCACTAGCATCTTTACCCTTATTATTGTAGTTCTTTGAAGCAGCAGGTACCTCCTTGTTTTTCTTACCTTTTGGTTTTTTTGACTTCTCTGTGAAGGAAATTTGGGGATGTGGGGTGACTACCAAGTGGTGGCTTGGATAAAGAGGAATGTGGGGGTGGGATCACTCCCCCATCCGTAGGGCTGCATAGTAGCGTGCAAGTGCGCGGGCTGAGCAATGTAAATAGAAGCAGGTAAGATGGCACCGCAATGTATAACATGTTGAAGAAAACCGGCAAGCTGGTGATGATCTCGCAACTTTGTCAAGTTGGAACTCAGGGGGTAAGCCAGAATGATGAGATTTCGCGCGCACTTTTTGAGATCTATTCATCCATTGTAAGAGTTGCAAGATCGAGATTCCACACCGGAGGATAGCCATTGAACGGCATGATAATGCCATTGATGACAGCTATTTCAGATTCATAGTTACAGTACACTACAAAGTTTCTGTTCTTTTGAATAGAATATAATCGTGTACACATATTCGTGTAAACTTTGTACTAAGTAACATGAGAAGATTAAATAAGTGAAGTTTGACCAGTACCTGCAGGAATTCCAACATATAGCTCGCCTTCAATATTTAGGGGTCGAATGAATACTTCTTCAAGAATCTCCTGAAATTTCTTCCCGGATGCATGCTGTATTATCGAAACTTATCATAGAATGGGGTACTACATAGAGAAGTTGAAAAATAGTCAAATCTTTAATACTCTGAAGGCCAGCAAAAAGATAACTAACAATCAATCAAGTTGGCATGCCTATGATCACATGGCATCTAGACACAGCACCATATAAATATAGGCAAGATATTTGTTATCTATAGATTTCAGGGTAATAAAGCTTCGACTCAAACCATAGTGGACAAGTCATATTCAATTGAAAGAACATTAGCATGATACAATACCTCAATTATTGCACCACACAAGCCAACCAAAAGACAGGTAGTGATAGACCTGCCGTTGACCAGGCTCAGTTTCAGGTTTTAATGCCACAATCCGTCTCAAACAATCATCCAGTCAACATATTCACAGGATTTTCTTCTCCAACCTCAACCAAAGCATGGTGCAAACACTTGTATGGTTAAGCACATGATGGACCTAAAATCCAAAACCAAGTTATATGGGTTACCGACATAAGAACTATGGCCAACGACAGGATATGTTTAAAGAGCTCAAAGGATAAGATTTAAACCTTTATGCGATCTTTTTCATTTGATCCGAATTCAGGCCAAAGTTAGCAACATTATCCTCAAGCTTGAGTTTCCTAAGAAAAAATGCCAAAATTTGTTAAATTGCTCGAACATCTAATGTAACGTTGACAATTTAGATCACAAAATGGTCTCTCATGTACCAAAGTATCCATTAATTTGAGAATCTTATGGATCAATTTGCTCATTGAGATTTGTTGACCCTAGTTCAAAATCATTGACAAAATCACAGAATCTTTATGAAATTCTACAGGGATATCCTAGAATAATTCCACAATGAACTAAGGGCAGATGATTTCAAACTCCGCTATTTAAATATCTCAAAATACACAATGCAAGACATAATGAAAGGAGCTCAAAATCTACAATATGAATTACATTTTCCATTTACTAGATGAAGAATTTCAGAGTCTCCACTATTTCCCTTCGCAAATATGTGTCATTTGTCTCTCACATCTTTCTGCTTATGGACTAAATATTAATGTTGATAAACCTCTACTATACAGCTCGCTTTTGCGTAGAGTGGTAACTTAACATTGTACAAAGCCAAAGGTCGTAAGTTTAAAACCCCAATATTAACTACATAAAAAATGAAAAAATGAAAAATGAAAAAAAAATCAAGTTTCATGTGAGAGAGTCTATTGGATAGATATTAATGTTGACAAGCCCCTCCCCACACATAGCTTAAGATTTTAGACAAAGCGGTAACTTAGCAGCTAACATAAGATTTTGTTATTTTGTTTGAGAAGAATGACATGAAGTGCACCAAAATACTTGAAATCTGGGTTACAGTGAGAAAACTAATGAACAAAACTGGAGGTGAGGGTCACTTTGGTAGCCAACTCTTTTGATTATACTTGTTCAATTCTAAATTTCTTAATAAAACCACAGTGATAGTGTATCAAAGAAAACCAAAGGTTTGATGCTGGTTAGGACCTTTACAAATGCGTATCTTTATTAGTTAAGAAGTTCCGAGGTAATATATTACATGGTCATCTTTTCTTCATTTACCCAATTACTAGAAAGAACTCTGCTTTTCAATATGAAAGGGAATAGATCAAGTCCAGGCATCAATATTGAGGGCCATGTCCAACTATATTGCAAAATGCCATGATCCTCAATAAAATATATTTTGTATATTTCCAAAAAGGGACACACACCAAAAAACAAAAAAAAAAACCATTGCCAAAATTTTGAAAAAGGTCATGCATGTAAATCTCTATCCACGTCAAAATTTAATTTTGCTGGATCATATTGAAGTAAGTTCTCCTTGTAACAATGTCCTCTGACATGCAGTTGATGTGGACCATCCAAAACATCAGCATAATTATGCATTGTTCAAAACTTAAAAAAACTTCTCAAATTATGTCTAGCCAGACCTAACAACATAAATAGAAAACTAATTATTTGTTGTATATGTGCAGGGAATAGCAACTAGTCAAATAAAGTTTTGCACAACAAAGATAAAGATTTACAAACTTAAAGCATAGTACCCATAAGAACAATACGTACCCATTGTAACCAGCCATGTAACAATCCTGCTGTGATGCCCTTTGTTACCGACAAAACATTAAAAAGACTATCAAGCTGACGGACGAGGATCATATCTACAAGCACTCCAGCAGCAGTATCTATAGTCACCCACATCTTGTACGCACAAACTTTAAGACATCATTAATGAAAATCTCATAAAAAGTGAAGAACAATCGTGGCTACATTTCTGCTTTTCATATTTGGCATCCAAAACAGAGAAATAAGCTTATAATCATCCAAAAATGTTAGTATGGATTTCAGATAAAAAGTTATATATATAATAAAGGTGAACCAACTAATGGTACAGAAAACTGAAAGAAAAAATCCTTTTTGTGAATACCGCTTACATATCATACGCTGTAAATCTTTTTTCAAAATTCACTATAAAATCCATTTATTAAACTTTCACTCGATATCAAAATAGTATAACATATTGCTTTAGCCCTCTCCACTTTAATCTTAGAGAGGTGGATAAAGGCTTTTGTTGGTCATGTCTACAACAAAAATAAGTCTCTCATGGTAAACCCATGTTACCAACCTCTTGGGGACATAGTTTTGTTTCCTGCTTTGTTTAGCAGCAATACAGGTGATTTTCAGGAATTTAAAGATCTTGGAGATTAGTCTACTAGCCATTCAGCAAAGATCTCACCACTTCGAGTAGTTTGGATGAGCCACATGAATTTCAGACTAAATAAGTGTTATTATTTTAAAGCTGTATTGAGTTCAATTTTAAAGTCTAATTGCTTGGAAAATTCTAGCAACAGACAAACCCTCTAAGTTTGATAAACTGATTCTCTTGGTGATAATGACAAGTGTCCCACTTGGTGCATAATATTACTTTCATAATTGCATGTCAAGTACGTCCAAGTTTGTGAAAATCTGACTTCCTAAACAAGTGCAACCACCATTATGATAAATTTATTTTTTTTTACCTATGTTACTAAATGCAACGGATGCTTTCTAAAGGAAATGTGGAAAAATCTAAAAAGGATTATCCTATATAATAATTGATAGTTAGCAATATTCTTTGAAACCAAAATATTGTAATGATCTTAGGCTTCATAAATCCAAAGGTGTATCATTAAAGTTATACAAGTTCAGGCATTAATAAGTAGGTTGTAGTATGCTTGCTAAAAGCGATATCATTAGTTGAAGCCATCAAAAACACATACAGGACTTCTTTAGGAAATTCTCTATGAAAGGAGGAACTTTTGATAACTTTGCTTCAAAAGTTTTTTTTTTAGGTAACGGAGGTATCCAGGCCCATATTGGAGCATGCCTAATCTTCAGGGCCACAGAACACCCTACAAGCTCAATGGACCAAGGTAATTATACAAATGTGGTAGGTACCTCTCCTACGACTTGAACACAAGACTCTCTGGGTATAGCTAACCCCAGTGGCTAAAGGGTTTGCCATCCGGCCACAAGGGGAGAGGTGTTTCAGAGTTTTTTTATGACATACTTTAAGGTTGATTCTGCAATTACATAAATGTCAGGTAATCAGGTTTGTTATATGCAAAGTCCTGCACTTACTTACAGATCTATTTCCAGCAACATATTAAATGTGACCTTACCAAATATAAGCAGCTCAACAACCTATATGAAGTCTATTACATTTGCAGATCCTAGATCATCCTATGCTCTCCAGGGGATAGAGGCATTAATTAGTTATCATTGTTTCTTGGTTGTAATTATCTTAATTTACTCAAATAGTAGTCTAATAACTGGTTACCCCAAAATAATGGAAAAAAATGTAGGCTTCTAACAAAGTCACTGAGCTCAATCAACTTGTTATCTTTTAACTGAGACTAGTACAACACCCATAGCATGGAAAAACAGCTCCAGAGGTAGAAGGGAAAGAAATAGAAAGTAAAATAATATGACAAGCTTTAAAAGTGAAACAATTGGAAAGATACCATTCAGGTTATTAAGCTGCATGCAAAAATTAAAATTGATGCAGACCTGAATTCCAAGTATTCTGTCCTCATTCCCCAGCTGAACTAAGAATTCCCTCAACTTGGCCTCCAATTCAGAATGGATTGGAGTATCATAAATCCACTGGGGATTTGTTGCTGGTCCCTTGTTCATGTTTCTAAGAAGTTAAATTACATTGTAGTCAGATATGAGCCAGTAACAAACGTAATGAAATGACATATCAAGGTTAGAATGAACTGACCCTTCTAAAACAGATTCAGCAAATGGTCTCATAATATCCAGATATACTATGCGAATATTCATCATGGACGAAAGACCTGAACAATGTTCAATAATGAGATAAAAGTGCACAGTTGATTAACACAAGGTAAGCAATGGAGGTCTCTATACAATACCTCTTAGAAGAGTAAGGACTTTTGAAAACATTACAAAATCACCAATAAAGGCATCTGGAACCAAAATGTCTAACTATATTAAAAATATGAAAGAAATTTTGAATGCATGTATTAGACAAACATACTGAAAAAAGGAAATGGTATGGCCTTACAGGATTAAAGCGTTTGATTTCTTTTTGGGTAAATTGCATCTTTTCCTGTATATGTTTCATGCTTTTGTCCTTTTCCTCAGCCAAAGTTTTCATGGTTTTCTGTACACAAGGAGATTAGCAAGAGAATCCAAGTTGAGAAGAAAATATCAGAGTAGTTTAAACATACATGAGCTTCATTTGCTGGTGTGGAATCACGGAAGAATACAGTTGTAACCTCCATAGCCTGCTCAGGCATGTCTAGACGCAGCTTAAGTCCCATTTCTGCCATGGCAGACAAAAGAGCTACATGGTCCCCCTTTGACAAAGACAAAAATAATTATTTCTTAATCTGGAAAGAGAAATAGTTTGAAGAGATATTGAAAGCAGAAAGACAATATCAATTGACAAAGTGGTTAGAAATCGAAGTCAAATCAAGGTTGTTAGGAAAGCACTCTTCCCAAAAGTTAAAGCATTTATGTAGAGGTCAGACAATAGCATATGGAGCAAACTGCAATCACAAATACAACTTATTATAATTTCATTAATACAATATGGAGAATCAAACAAAAGCCTACTAGACAACTTGGCTCTAATAGCAGGTTAAGCAACCACTTATTACAAAAGCTTAAGCTTATACATAAGAATCTAATAATAGTATTTAAGCTCTAACAAAGGTAAACCAATTCAAACTCTGGAGGACTAAGATTTAAAATTCTGAATAAAAGAAAAAAGCCTTCCACAAATACTAAGCATAAAGTTGGTGAAAATTATTGAAATTGAGATATTCTGCCCCATCAAATCAAGCTAGTAACATTATGATGAATACTTAACAAGCTAAGTACATAAAATAATGAAGGTCTAGCCTAAGGCATTTAATCAAAATAATGAATGCTAAGATAAAGTAAAAGATTACTGCTAAAGAAGAAACAAACACGAGTCTTTCATGCTAGAGTGATCAACTCATAGACACTCACACAATCAATACATTGCGTCATCAGATAATTTTTCTAGTTTCTACAATTCTTTACAATATTATTCTAAGATGAAAAAAAAATAACAAAAAGTTAACCCAAAAAGCCAAACCTCTGCACAAGCCAACAAAAATTTTGCAAGTGCTTGTTTGACAGAGTCGGATAGTTTCTTTGTGAGCCCAAAGTCGAGCAAAATTTGACGGTGAGGAGCCTCCTTGCTAACAAGGAAATTTCCTGCATTAAAACACCCAAGAAATAATTGGAATGGGTAGTAGGAATTGACTGTTGCACAAGTGGTATATTGGTAAACAGAAAAAACCAACTTCCATTGTAGCACTAATATTGGATTCAGTCAGATGGTCAAATAAAATTTCAAGACAACAAGGGTAAACAGCAGAAAACATGTGAGAATAAGTACCAGGATGAGGGTCAGCATTGAAAAATCCATCAACATAAATTTGGTGGGCATATGCACGTGTAATTTCTTCTACAATCTTCTGCTTGTCAACCCCAAAAGCTTCCAGAGATTCAGAGTCATTTAAACGTATCCCATCCATGTACTCTAGAATGAGGACAGCTTCGGTTGACTGACCCAAAAAAAAAAAAAAAAAAAAACAGATGCATATTTAAGCATTTGAAAATGAAAAGGCAGTGTTCTGTATTCTAAGAAAGTCAAGTTGCAAAGTAAACAGTAATCAAAGTCTAGCATTGGTACCAATTAGGTCAACCGCCAATCCAAACTAAAAAAAAAAAAACTCCCTCCTTCCCATTACATAATTACCATGCTAAATGTTACATAATAGTTATAGCCAAAAGATACGCCCATTTGTTAAAAGGATATGCCTGAAATTTAAAAATTTTATATTTAGTGATAAAACTTGAACTTATTTTCTTTGGGACAAGACTTTTCTGTTATTCTTTTAAATTTTTGCCATAACTTAAGCTAACATAAGAGTAAAAACAAATATTCCCGACTTCCCATCCTTCAAATTTAAACATAGCACTGAGTCAACTAAACTCCAGAATGAAGACTCAGCACTTTAAATTTGAAACTGTAATAAAAATCGTGCCTGAATAACTTCCGGAACAAGAACATCAACTGTATTGGCAGGTTTATTATCTCCGGATCTGTTTTTCCACCCAAGATTGCTATACACATTTCTAGTATTTTCTACAAATAAAAAACAAGCATCAATAAGAAAAATAAGACAGCATCGATAAGAAAATTTATCCATACAATGTAAATGCAAAGTCATTCCCTAATTATCTTATCATAACTCATGCACGTACCACTTTATGCAGGAACAGAAAACAGCTAATTTTTGTTTAAAAAATACGAAGAATCTTCAGTTCATTCAGAAAAAATTATCATACCAGCTTCAAGATTGAAGTCAAATTCTTTTGGAGTTTCTCTGCACCATTCGTCTAACACAGGATTGAATTCATATAGCGGTTCTGCCCAAGCTATCCAGTCAATAATCGATTTTACATCCTTCAAGTCCTATATAATAAGAGCAAACCTAATAACCATTTAATCACTGCAGGTTTTACTTAGCATCCAAAATTTATATACAAAAGCATGTAAAACCTCCAACATAATTGTCTTGATGCCCGGATGTTGAACTTTGACAACCACATCCAGCCCATTAATCAGCTTGGCACGGTGGACTTGAGCAATCTGCATAACGTAAAACATAAAACTCCCGGAATGTAGTGACTAATTCAATAGCTCATACTACCAATTACAGTTGGAGGATCTTACTGATGCTGTTGCCAAAGGAGTTTTGACAAAATCCATGAAGATATCATCCATGGATTTATCCAACTCTTTCTCTATGGTGTGACAAACCTGTGCAACCAGAACTTACTACACTTAGATATTCCGAAGATGTCAGAAGAATACGCACATACCCTACGTGAGTCTTGGCGGCGGCCACATTTAACCGTTGAGAAGCTCCTACGCGGCGACATGAGGCTTCAAGTGGCAGCCATGGCCATCGCACATCAAATTTTCCTCTTTTCATTTTATTTTTAATTTTCTTAAAACCCATTAAATTTGATGATTTTGGTTTGAATACGAGAATGATCTTGTTTAATATAGGCTGAATGGTGAGCATAATTGATGAATTTTGAGAATATTTTGATGAAATATTGTCGGATTAAGGAATTGTTTTTGATAAATAAGAAAATTTGACGACTGATTTTTTGCTTGCAGTTAATACTTATTTATTATTAGTACCATTCATATGTTAGAACAAGGGATTAGCCATTTAAACCCCTCGAGGTTTAGCAAAATATATAAACCTTGTAATTACTCTGAACCCCATGCCGTCAAGCCTCTAAAGTTTCTATAGATGGTTTTAACTTATACAAATATTAGGCTTACAAAGAATACATACAAAAAAAGGGTATATAAAGATAAATTATACCCTTAAAAGAAAAAGATTAAGTATAAGACTTATTTTTATATATCTTTTTTTATATGCATCTTTACAAAACTAGTATTTCTCTTTAAAATAATCAAGGGAAAAAGAGTAAAATATATCTCGATTTATTATTAAGATTTATTGAGAATTGACTGAATTTGACGAAACTCTAATAAATATGAGAATTCACTAAATTTGACCCAATACAATCACGAATTATGCTAATTGTATTTTGAAGTTGACTAATTTACCATAAAATTTATTAACATCATTTTAAATTTAAAAAAAAGGTAAAATAACTAATAAAAGTTTTAAAAATTCTTAAATAACACAAATGCATAACCTTAAATTAAAAATTCTAATAGAAAATGATTAAAAAAAAAAGTTCAAAGATGAAAACATAATAGCACTTTAAAACACTGTTAAAACAACCTAAAAAAAAAAAAAAAAAAGAGAGAGAAGATAAAATCTATAAAAAAAATTAATTTTTTCAAATTTATATTAATTTTCAGTATTTTATTTATTAGTTTCTTTTCTATTTTATTACAAAATTTTGTAATATTTTACATAATTTAATATTTTTAAGCCTATAACATAGGTGTGAAGGGCTGCTAGAGAGAGGTGAAAGTATGGCGTGGGTTGGTATTAATGTGCACAATAGATGAGGGCATTACGATCATTTACATTTTACCCTTCCTAGTTTCTACGGTTAAAAGTAATCAAAAGACATTGATGGCAGGGGGTTGAAAGTCATTATCAATACTAAAGGGAGGTTGAAGTTATTTCGAGTACTACCCGGGGTTTACTGTACTTGGCCGAACCTCGGGGGTAATCCCGCTTGAACAAACCTTGAATCCCTGACGGCATAAGGACCCCAACCGGTCTTCTGCTATTTTTATATTGTAATGGACCTTGCTAGCGAACTCATTTCTATTTTCTAGCTTATAATTCATGATTAATAAGGGATCAAGTTTAAACCTTTGGCCTAACCCAACCCCCCCATAGTTTTGATAACTACTCAAAACCCCCTGCCATGTCATCATACCCTTTAGGCTGTGTTTGTTATGGATAATAGGAGATTAGTGAGGTAATGTAATCTTATATTAATTGATTACCACATTTGATTGTCAAGTAATATAAGATTCCGGTAATCTTTCATTACCAATAGTAGTTCCTATTTGTAATATAGGAGGTAATCTGATTATTTTCATTTTCTTAGGTATTTTAAGATTACTTAGTAATCTTATTTTTGTTACAATTTTACCATTTATTAATAAAATTTTAGGATAATAATGCCTTTGTTTTAAAAATAATTTACAAAAATACCAATTGACTATTTTATCCTTATATACAAAGTTTTTAGGACATAAATACGTTTGGAATTTAAAAAAATTACCAAAGGGTGGTGCCCGGATCTAGCCACAACCGTCAGCTGCCGAAAACCAAACAGAATGGCTCACGACTGACCTTATCTAGCTGATTGTGCGCCGCTAAGGCCAGAAACAGCCTAATCTGGCCTTTCACGGCCAGATCTCCACTGTCGCTGCCGCTTGCGGTGGTGGTTAGCCGCGGGCAGTGGCTTCGGATGGCTGGGGGTGTTTTTGTTAAGCTTTAAACTTTTTTTGTTGTTGGAGTGTTTTAGCTAAATCTGAAATGTAGGGGGTTAGAGGAAATTATTCAAAAAATAATATTATATTAATATTTAAAAATTAGGGCAATTTAGTATTTTATATAATATATCCATTAATTTATTCTAATCAATCCAACACATTTCCCTAAAAGATAATCTTTAACCAAATAAGGATAAATGACCTTAATGCCCTCACCTGTTATGTCCATCAATTCCAACTCACCCTGTACTTTTACTTCATCTCTAGTAGCCCTAACACCCATACTAGGCTTAAAAATTATTAAATTATGTAAAATATTACAATTTTTATAAAAAAATAAAAAAAATCTAAAATAACAGAAAAAATTAAAAGGTCCAAAAAATGGAAAAAGCATATGGGAAAATGGAAAAAAATCTGGAATAATTAAAAAAATATATATCTGAAAAATTAAAAATGAAATTATCTAAAACTTGAAAACCTTACTTTTAAAAAAAGGCAAAAAATTAATACTAATCTGAAAAAAATGGAAAATTTTTAAAAAATATTGAACTTGGCAAATATTTTTGATTTTAGCTTCTTATTTTTTTGTTAGGTAGTGTTTTTTTTAAAGTATTCTTAATTTTTCAAAATATTTAAAGTTTCTTTTAATCATTTTTTTTTAGTATTTGTGATGTCATGTTAAGAATTTGTGTTATCTAAGATTTTTTTAAAATTTTTCTTAGTTATTTTACCTTTTTTTTTTTTAATTTAAATAAGAGTTGTTAATAAAATTTAGGATAAATCAGTCAAGTTCAAAATATAATTACAGTAATTCGTAATTTTGTTTAGTCAAATTTAGTCAACTCTCATATTTGTCGCAATCTGTGTGGTAGTTTGGAGAGTTTTTGAAAATAATTATAAAACTTTAGGTGCTTTTTATACTTTTTACCCTTGATTCTATTAAAACTAACCCAAGACACGTTAGGGGATCTGGCAGTAAGGGGTTTAGAGTAGTTGCCAGAACCACATCGGGGTTTATTGAGCTAGGGCAAACCTAGGGGTGTTTAAATACTAATCCCTGATTATTAATATTAACCTAAAATTAATAATACTAATGATATGACCTAAAATTTCTCTAATAAGTACAAGGGTAATTTTGTAAAATATTTTTCATACATGATCAATATAAAAATAAATAAATTTTAAGATCTATTAAAATCTATAATTGTTCAGTGAGAAAACAAACGACTTTTAGATTTCTATTATTTTTTAATATACAAAGTTGAAAGATAGAAGACGAATCACCTCTAATAAAGGATGAGGAGGAAGCGAGTCTTGTAGCGTTTTGAGAAGAGATATGTACTCCACTGGAAGCACATCAGCGTGTGTCGATAAGTACTGTCCAATTTTCACCCATAAGCCGCTCAACTCAACCATCAAATTCACAATCCGCTGAGCATTTCGCTTATGAGCTTTCTCCCATAATGCACCTCTTTTAGATTTCTTGGTCCATTTCTCTTTTGCCTGTACACCCTTTAGTAAATATTGTTGAAAAATGGCTTTTAGCAAAGTCACATCGGGTAGAAATGATAATGGAGAAAGGCTTAGGGACTTACATGTAATAGGCCAAAAAAAGGTTAGTTTGTCCCACATTGATTAAGATTGAAAAGTGGAAAACTTTTGGGGCCTATATATAAGGACCCAAATCATTGTTATTAGGCATCCCAAGTTGTAATTCCATTATACTTCTTTTGTTTAGGGTTCTTTCTTTAAGGACCCTTTAGTTTGTAAGTTTTGTTGTATCTCCCCTTTGTTTTGGGTATTTGTTGTATTTCCCAAAAGTTTGTAATATTGTTTGGAGATAGTGGAGTTTTCTTTTGCAGCGCCCGAGGACGTAGGTTTCAATACCGAACCTCGTTAATTCCTGGTATTCTTTATTTTTGCATTTAATTTTGGCTATTTATTTATGCTTTACTACTTGTTATTATTATATTCAATAGCTAGCGTTAGAGTTTATGTTTTGGTTGCATAACAATTGGTATCAGAGCCTAGGTTTAGGACAGTGAGTAGCTATTTGTATGGTTATATGCATGTCTAGGAAAATTCTGTCAAAAAGACGATAAAAGTCTAAGGAGACTGGATTTTAAGTGGGACCATTTGTGACCCCTCCATTGTTTCCTGGGAATTTTCCTGGTGCGTATTTAATCATTTCAGCACTTACTACTACCTTGGGCTATTGTTCATTTGTTGGTTAGCTATCGAAAATAATAATTTGTGGAGCTTGGTTATTGTGAATTTTGTTTACCAAGCCAATTGAGTAAGGCATAAATGGCATCATCGTCTGAGGTATCACCGTCCGCGGCACCACCATCCGTACCAGTAAAGATGATAACAGTTTCAAATGCAAAAATTGATGTTGAAAAATTTGATGGTCAAAATAATTTTGGCTTATGGCAGAGTGAGGTAATGGATAGCTTGTATCAGCAGGATCTAGATATCGTTCTGGAGGAGGAAAAATCAGAAGATGTCTATGAGAAAGACTGGGTGAGGTTGAATATAAAAGCGTGTGAGATGATTTGCTCATGTCTTTGTAGAGAGCAGAAATATCCATTCATGAAAGAAACATCTGCCAATAAGTTATAGAAGAGCTGGGAAAACAAATACATGAAGAGAAGTAATGAGAATGGCTCTATTTGATGAAAAGACTGTTTCGTTTCAGTTGAGACCAGGTAAAATATCAGTAGCCAATTGATACATTTAACAGATTAATTGCTGATTTGTTAAATTGGATGAAACAT